TAAAAAATTATTAAAGTATTAAATATATTAAAAAAAACAAAAAATTTAAGTCTTGCTGAGCCTGACCTAGGGCAGCAGTTTTGGGCCCGAACCCAGCAGGGCTTGTCAAAACTCAGTCAAACCTGTAAATTCAATGCAATGCAATGCATTGTGAAGGGCACTGATGCTTGGTCCATCATTTTTCTCAACACCATACCATATCCAGTTTTTCCCACATTTTCTCTATTTTCTCTCTTTGTCCATTTTTGTCCAGAAATTCAAGACGTCATTGATCTTGATACAAGCCGATTCATCCAGTATCACTTCTCTCCTGCATTCCTGGCCCTCAGAGAGATAGGAGCTACGTAAGTCAGAGATATTTTACTATGTTAGATGAACAGCTCTGCTCTATGTATCAACTGCAGGAAAATATGATGGTCTAAAACAAAGAAAGAATAGATTGCTGCACCAAAACATTTTCTATTCACACTTCCCTCAAAGTGTCATGAAACTTTCCCAGATGTTATTATTGGTTAAAAATCACTTGCTGATCAGCCGCCTGTCTCTCAGGTTGGAGTTCACAGTGGGCAGCAAGGCACTGAACCGCTTCCGTCTGATCGAGAGGCATTTCTTCAGAAACCTCCTGCTCAAAACCTTTGACTTTGAGATCGGCTTCTGCATCCCACACAGCAGAAACACCTGTGAGCACATCTACTGCTTACCTGACCTGGAACCTGAGATAGGTACAGTCAAATGATAAACTGACACACAAGCACACACAGACCATTTCTACAAAATGTAGGCAAACATGAAATTGTTGTTTATATGTCAAGTGAGGCTCTGTCCATAATAGGATCTCTATGAATATTGGGGTGGGGACAGAGAACCATATATTTCATTTTTACCAACCAACATTTTTAATATTTTCTTTGTAGCAGCACTTGACATAGTTGGTGGTGTGTGACTACTGCCTTAAAGCATTATGCACTTGTTCCAGCCCTGTGCCAAAAGTTACATGCAAGAAGAGACATACAAAGGCACCATTCACTCTATTACAACTCAGTGCAGCAAAAGGATTTAAGGTAGAAAAAGTTACATAATATGGCTTTAAACTTTGATATGTTGATGGTACAATAATCACATATTAGAAGTGGAATTAGCCATTTTCAAATGATGGCGTAGGGATGTTCCATGATGTTTGGAGGATTACAGAAAAATGTGTGTTTTAGTAATAGTACTAGTAATAGTTTTATGTACATCTCACATTGTCTAACTCCTTCTGAACATGTTTCTCTTTTGCTCTGCTCAGTTGAGGAGATGATTGCCAACCCATTCGAGACACGCTCGGACAGTTTTTACTTTGTCAACAACAAGTTGATCATGCATCACAAAGCGGAGTACTCCTTTACCCCACAAAGAGAAATGGACCCATCCACGGAATATAAAAACTGTCAGTGAAAAGTGTCAGCCTCTGATGTTGTCCCATAAATAATGCTTCTGGTTGTACAACTATTATTTTGTATGAGATACAATTTTAATTAGGTTTTTCTGCTGTGGGAAAAAACAAGTGACGAGTGCTTCATTAGAGTATTCATTAATGGTACTGTTACAGCTTTTTGACGAGCTATGTATTTAATTCTTCTTGGAGTTGTAAGGAAATAATTATAATGATTGTTGTAGTCGTGTTGTATCTATCTAAATCTTCATAAGAGAACAACTTAACACTACAACATAAAAACAAGTGTAAACTAACAAGTTACTGTTATTGTCTCAAACTATGGAGGACCGAGGCATAAATAAAAATGTATATTCCATTAAATGCACCAAAAATAATATTAAGAATAAATAATAAATATTTGTATTAAGTAATTTATAAAATGTAAGATAAATTGATATTTCTGTTTTAATTTGCTTAGGCCATTTACCTTGTATTAATTTCCCTATTTATTGACTTTTACTTTTTATTTATTGACCCATTTAATTTTAGTCAATCTATGATGTTGATCAACCAATAGGCAAAAAGTGGACCCCATGACACGATTTAATGACAGCCCTTTCATTTGTGTAATGAAACAGGAAAACGTAGAAAGAAATGTAAAAAGTATAAAAAATATAGAAATAAATAAGTTTGGGGAAATAATTAGGGTAAAGAACACAATGGTAAATAAATACAGAAGCGAATTTAAACAGATAAACAATTTATGTCACATTTTTATAAAATAATGAATGCTTACATTTATTTTTAATATTATTTTTGGTGTATTTTATGGCACATTTAAGTCATTTATTTATTTATTTTTGATTGTGGCTGTGTTGGTCCTCCATAACAAGCTGGTTACACAACGGGAGTATATTACCTGACAAATCCTTTTTGCACTATCACATAGAGGTTATTATTATGTCACACAAGTTGCTCTGTACCACCAGTGTAATATGTCTCAAAAATGTGTGGAATTGCAACATTGTGTGCAAAATTATATATATATATTTTTTAAATGTTTTGGTTGTTTAATGTTTTGACCTACCTAAGAATCAAATGTATACATTTAATAACATGATACCAAAAATATTGAGCAGGAGCATGTGAGAGCTTCCGGAAAATATAACCATGCAAGGAAACAGAAACAGATGTTCTTTTATTTTTGATTTTTTTTATCAAATCGTCTTTATGATTGTAGAGTAATGTCCTGTAGCGTTTTAAAATCATTCTGCATCGGTTGCATTGGTAGACAACATCACAATAAAAGCAGATACTATGTTCACTATCAAGGTTTTAATCTCTGCAAGAAAGTGTTCATAGTAGCATAGTAGGACCTGTAGTGAAAGAAATCAGATAGCTTGGAATATTTAAGTCTAAAAAACAACAGTATGCTTTGAAAATGGTCAGTGATGTGATAAATACACAATTTGGTGAACAAAGGATATGTGCATGCTTGCACAGCTATGAAAGAGAACATCACTGAGACAGAGTAATCAAACATTTCTGGAACAAAGAGAAAAAAGTGGGATAAGTGAGACCATAGACAACACATAGATTAGATTAACATGTATGCTGATGACCAAAAAGTGTGAATGTAATATACCCCTGCAGCCTTTCCCCAAGAATATTTTTTAGCAGCAATGGCCATTCAGCATTTTCCCAATATATGATAGACATGGCCACACATATGCTAGGTTTGGTTGTCGTCCACCATGAAAATCAATATTTTTTTCAGACTCAGTGACTATATGGCTATGTGGCTATATCTGTGAGCAGTTTATCTTTCTAGGCCTTTGGTAGAGGAGCTCTGGGGTTCATCTGTAGGGGAATTTAGTGGTGGGGGGACACTGTCACAGCTTACAGTCCCTGATATCGCCACAGGCAAATTCATTAATGTTGTGATGTTTGGCTGTGTTTTTTTTTCAACCGTCAGAATGTGAAAAAGAACAGTTTGGAAGCTAATCAAGGAGTTATCACTAGTGAATTAAATAACAATTGAAGAACAGCTGTTGGAGTGTAACAGGAAACTCCAAACAGCATTCACTGTGTCATGGTGATTTGATAATATAGCAATGAATATTACAATGTAATTGAGATTGAGATAATATATATCAGTAATTTTACCTGGAAGTGGGGGTAAGAGGACCGATTGATCGCAGGGCACAGACCCTTAGGATTCCATTTGAGAATCTGTGTGAGACGAAGTAAAATTCCAAGGAAGAAGTGAAGTTAGTAGCATTGGCATTACAGTGACAATTAAAATGTGTGCAGTAACAGAGAGATGAAGAGCAAGAGGAATTCTCATTGCATCAAGGGATGTCCCCCGGCAGTCTAGGCTTTATTAGGCATACAATAATAAATAGAGTATGGTTCCTTGCTAGGGCTAACCCATTCACTTTTCCATCAGTTGAGAAACAGCAGACAAGACTTTGGTGTTGACAAGCTGCAGCGTTTACTGACACATGGTAGTCTAAACAGGTTTTTTTTTTCTTTTCTCCCACACTCTTGCTGC